GAGGAGGAGGAGGAGGAGGAGGAGGAGGAGGAGGAAAATTATGTAAGCTGCCTTGAGTTCTTTGGAAGGAAAAAGGTGGGATATAAATATGATGAATGAATGAATGAATGAATGAATGAGTCAGGTGGAATTTCTCCCTTCTCAATAAAGAAATGCAGCTGCATCTTAAATATCCCATTGTACTAGAACATCAGCACATATATAAATAAAGCATGCAATAAATATAATTAACTATAAGTATTTGCAGATTGGTATGCCTACAACAGCACATTTTTATGGTCATCAGGCTCCTAAATGACTGTTTAGAATTTTAGAAGTTTCTTGTGGAAGGGCCAATGCTTATTAGTATTACTATTAATTTTATTTCTATAGTGCCTAGTAGCCAAAGCTCTTCAGCTGGTTTGCAACAATTCATAAAATACAATAGAATACATTGCAAAAATCAAAATAAGAATAAAATATCATAATATTCCACTAAAAAATCTTTAAAAACAAATGTGCAAGTCTTAAATAACTAAGTGAAGTTAATACCACTAGGCCTGTTAACAGCAGACATAACCCCTACATAATATTTAGAGCTCAGAAGTGTAGGCAATCCTGATCTATGCCAAAGGGATAGTAGAGTTGACACCAGCTGGGCCTTGAGGGAGAGTTCTTTCCATAAATAGGGGGCATCACTGAGAAGGCCCTCTTCCTCAACTCTGAGGCCTCCCTTGAAGTTGCACTTGGAGGAAGGCCTCAGATGCAGAGTCTCGTATCCAGACAGGGTACACTTCACTACAAATGCAGTTTGCAAACCAGTGTTCAACAGATCGATTTTAATTATTGTCCCTTGAAGGACTGAACTATTCCAGAGGTGTGGAACCTCCTATCTGTCAACTGGCTGGTTGAAACTTCTTAACCAGCCAGGGGCCTTCCTTCTTGCCCTATAGTCCTCGCAGAAAGGACTCCTAAAGACAGAAGATGATGGGCTGGGTCTATCTTTAGGCAAGAAGTGCTCCTGCCCACCTCCTCCCCACAGCAATACTGTCAGGCCCCTGAAAGTGCTATGCAGAAGGCTGGGGGATCCTGCTGAATGGAGTGTGCTGTGCTGGAGGGGAAAGGCCCTTCCATTCACAAAGGCAGATCCTACATCGAACTCCGATGCAACTCTGCAATAAAAACCACTTTAATTTAAAATAAGAGCATTGAAGCAAGGTGTAGCGATAGCCACCGGTCTGGATGCCTTAAAGGCAGATTAGACAAATTCACAGAGGACAAGGCTATGAATGGAAGCCATTTGCGATGGCTGCGCCAGAGGCAGTGGGCACATGTTCCACCAGCTGCTAAGGAGCATGAACGGGATGCTGCCGTTCTACTCATGTCCTGCATGTGGGTGGCTCACAGGCAGCTGGCTGGCTACATGGTGAACAAAACGTTGCACTAAATGGTCTGATTCAGGAGGCTCTTATTTCTTTACTCATAAAGCAAGTATACAAAAAGATCTTACTTGGTTCTAGTCTAGCTAAAAGTTAGAATGACGCCCATTCGCTCAGGCAGCCACATGTACTCAAAATTCCTCCTGTGCAGCAATTAGCCATGAAGAGGACTTTCCATGGGAACCAATGGATGGCAATCAATTTTTGTCTATAGGCGCAGCACACAAATATATAACATGCCAATAATATAGAGTTACAGTACATTGATTTGATATTATATTGATTATATATTAATATTATTAATGTATTAACCAGGATAATAGCTGATGAACTAAGAATAGCAAAAAGTGACCAAACACACGTGATATCCAACTAAAAGCTAAGTTTTTGAAACATCCTAAACAAGTAAACTTCATGTTCTTCATCAATACATGAAGGCTCCTTATGGTAAGTCTGAGCAGCTGTGGTCTAGTTTCAATGGCCATGGCTAGAAATTTGGCTATATCCAGTGTGACCCTATGTTTAACATCTGCCAGCAGAACAGAAATGGGAAACTTGTCAGGACTTAAAAAAAAGGTTGTAGAAAATGAAATGGGGTTTCAAGTAGCAATAAAATTCATGATACAATAAAACATGGACTAATGTTTTTACTTGGCCACTTTCTTCAGGGCAAGGTTTCAGATGTGGAAAACTTATGATCATTAGTATTATTTCCGTTTCTATACTGCCCAATTGCCAAAATTCACAGGGCAGTTCATGACCCCAAAAGAAAGACCCTCCCCCAACTGCCCTTCCCTTCTTGTGAAAGGCAAGATGTTTAGTTCAGCTAGTGCAAAGCCTTTCCTATGCTGGAAAATAAGGAAAGAGGCAAGCTCATTCACAGGTTCTGTTCAGGCTTCAGCCAAGAGGCAGAGCTGAACAAACTTCCAATGAATGGTTTTTTTCTGGCTTAACTGCAGTGTGGGAGGGACGGAGCCCCTCCCTGTCAGGAGGAACGGGTGTGCATGAATAGGGTACATGTATGAGTGTGTGGAGCTACTTACATAATGCAAAAGGTTACTGCACAGTTATCTTTCTTACTCTGGGTCCTGCATTCACACAAATGCGGGGTAACTACTCCTGAGTATTCTTCATATCCCTCCATCTTCCCTCTAAATGGCAGCATGCATCCCATCAGGCCCTGCAGTTGGGAACCAAGCATCCCAGCATGCCTGCCTCCTGCCCCATTGGACTGCATGCTCCTCTGGGGGTGTTCTCTGCTGGCTGTGACTTTTTTCTGCCACTCCAGAGTCCTCATCTACTCATTCATTCAAGTCCGGTGGTTCCACAGAGGCCCCATTTACTCCTTAGAGTAGCATGGCTGCCCCCCTCCCACCATGGTTGCTACTCCTTGTCCTCTCCCCTGACATGTGCCCTCCCTCCCAGATCCAGCACCTGACTAAAGCACCGAGATGCCCATCTTGCCTGCCTGGCATGGCCACAAGCACAAGCGTGGCATCTTGGGCAAGGCTGCACTGTCTTGCATGCTCATGAGAGAGGGGCCAGTGTGCTTGAATCAAGCTGTGTCAGGCAGGCCCCTATGTTGGTTGGCTGTGCCAGGTGGGCAAGGCGGGCACCTTGGAGATTGGCCATGCAGCAGGTAGGAAGGCGATCTGGCCAGTCATTGGAGGGAGGGTGGGGAGCACTGGGAGGCAGCCAATCAGCGTCCTGTCTACCAGCAGCCACAGCCAGGCAAACTAGACAGTGGAAAATGGGGCCTGGAGCAGCTGCGCCTGCTCTTGCCACTGAGCTCTCTGGCTAAAACAGGAAAACTGTGGAAAAACATAGTAACTGGCTTCACACATAACAAGAAGTGGTGTAGAAATGTGAAAACCTTAGCACAAACTGTGGGTTCTCTGTGGCGATTCACGGTAACCAAAAGTGCCATGTTTCACCATTCTTCTGGTATTCACACATAATGGCAAGTCGGTTTGTGTGTGTGAATGGCTGTATATTATGTGCAAGAATAGGTTTCTATCTGTGTGTACGCTGCATGGGAGAGAGTGCGTGGGGTGGCCCATTCCCTTTCGCTTTGATTTGTTCCCTTTTTGGGTGCTGTATTGTACACTCACATGCGGCCTCTGGAAGATTAGCCTTAGTAATTCAAAAACAGGAAATGTAATTGCAAATTACTGCAATGCACTTTATGTGGGGCTGTCCTTGAACAATGTTCAGAAGTTGCAGCTTGTGCAAAATGCAGCAGCCAGATTAATAACAGGGGCCAAACAATCAGACCAGACAACACCAATTCTGTCCTGCTTGCATTGGCTGCCTGCATGCTTTCAAGCCCAATTCACAGTGCCGGTTCTAGCTTATGAAGACCTGCATGGCTTGAGAACACAATACCTGATGAATCTGATGGCAGTCTCCTAATGGCAATTGACCTGGTCACTATGATCAAGCTCTGGAACCTGCCTCTGACTGCTACCTCCAAGGGAAACTTGGTTGATGGCAACAAGCAGAAGGGCCTTTTTAGTCATGGCCCCCCAGTCATGGACCAAGCTCTCCACTGAGACTTGCCTGGTGCCAACTTTAATATCTTTTTGGACAGTTTAAGACTGTTCTCTACCACAGGACATTTAATTATTTTACTGATGCTTTGCTAGCTGCTTAAACAGGTTGCTTCATTAAGCCATATAGGCTAATGCAAATTTTTAATATGGGTTTTAATTTGCTTTTAAATTTTGTATGGTGATGCTTTTAATGTTGTTTGTATTTTTTATTTTTTTATGTGTTGTAAACCACCCAGGGAGCTCTGGCTATTAGATGCTACAAAAATGAAATAAATGAATAAATGAAATGGAGGCAGATGTTTTCATTACTCTAGAAGAACTGACAAATTACAAATGAAGATCTCACATTCAAAGCTGAGTAACCACATCAGTTCTGACCTCTCCATTTTTGCTCAAGCTCCTCCCCTCATTTTCCTACCTATTTGACTCGGTTCACAAATTGTACGGTGGTTACTAAGCCACGCGGAATATGCTGGTCACACTCCAGAGGGATTAGCATAATTACCCTTGGAGGTTTGGCTTGTTGCATTGTGTGAACCCAGTCACAGTGGCCTGCTATCATAGTTAACAACCCACCCAGAACTCATGGGTGTTGTAGGGTGCTTGGAGAGCTTGTTAATGACAGCCACATGCCACCCTTTGTTGGATCTGCATGGGATGAGAAGCTGTGTTGCCATGGATAATTAAGCTAACTTCTCCAACACGCTCAGAAAGGGAAACAAGCCACCACTGCTCATTTTCCAAGCTGTGATGGTATGAATCGAGCCCTTCACCTTCTCTGTGTGCATGTGTGCGCGTGTGCTTAATGGTAGGTAATTTTCAGTCCCCTGGAAATGAGGAGAAAGGATCTTTTGCATAAGCCTACTAAGGGACTAAACCAAAATTAGTAGCTTTCAATCATGGGAAAAGAGCAAGAATGGACCCACACAAGTATGACATACTGTATACATATCTGACTTTATTTTGATGCGAGGAATTTATTTTCCCCACTTAACTCAACAATGCCTTCTTTTATGCTGTTGTATTTTTGAAAACATTTCCATCTGCTGTCTGACCCCAAATGACCTTCTCTACCCTAACTTGCAGTTTGACAAGGAAAAATTGTAGATATTTCATAAGAGATGAAAAAACATTCAGAAACACAAATACACAAAGCACACATCTCTCGTTAGAACTTCGCCCCATATTAATCTCTCCCGGTGAAGCCGTTCCCAGTGCTTTCAGCACAGAGTAGACGGCTCTGCCGTGGCAGTTTGCACAGGCGCTCTCACCACTGCAGCTCTGCATTACGCACACTTCGCATGTGCCAACACCAAGGGGGATGTGATTTACAACACTCCCTAGTAAAATTTGTTTATGCTGGAAAGTTTCAAATGTCAACATCACACGCAGCAGAACCATAAGAAGGACAAAAGCAACAACAGTGCATGCGCACGCACCCACACACATACGGAGCTCCTGAATCTACTCTAGGCCCTCAATCTTGTCCTGGGAACTTTGATGTGAGAGTGGAATCTAGCAAAATGAGGTGCTAAACCAAACCCTCTATGGTCGTAGTCCAGAGATATTCCTTGTGTGTCTTCCTGAGCTTCCATGATATAGTTGAATTCCCTCATGCCGCCTAATTGCAGCGTACAACCCTTTCTTCTCCCCTTGCAGAAAGTGAACAATTGAGCTGGTAGCAAGTTTCAAATGTCGTTTAGAGCCAGGGATGTAATTATACATATATCTAATCCCTCGTTGTAACTGTGTTTTAAATGTTCCTACTCTTACCTGGCTTGCAGGTGGTAATTTTAGTAAGCTATCCCCAGCTGAAGTTGACACATACTGGAAGAAATCTTTTCTACTGCATGTCTTCTATGACGAAGAGCTTATCTTCATAGCCCTACAAAAACTACTCCCATGAATAAACTTACATACTTCAAATGTTCTTCCACCATCAGAAAGATTATTTATTACTTGGGTCATGCTAAAGGCCTGAGAACAAGATACTGGAATGATCTTTAATAGCTTAACATTTTAAGTCCACTCCAGCCTGGATTCCATAGTGTTCCACTTAACTGAGCATGAAACTCAATAACAAGAGCCAAATAAGGCAGTCTATAGGAAGGTGCATGCATGCAGTATTTTGCCTATGTGAGGGCAAAATATTATAACTTCCAGAGACGGAAGTAATGGACAGCATACACATTCTAAAAAAAATTAAATAACTTAAGAAAAATGAATTTATTTAAAATGAGAGGATCAAACACAAGTCCTGAGAATAATCATTAAAAAGAATACAAAATAGTCCCATTTGGTTCTGTTTTAGCTACAAGGTGCAACAATGCCAAACAGGTCTCTGTTATAATTAATGGTTGTAACACTCAAAAGATCCATCCCATAAATCAGCATGCAGCTTCCTGGGGTCAGGAAATTTTCTAAATTCAGTTAGGATACAGCATACAATATCCAGCAACCTGGATAAGAAGGGAAATGAGCAGAGAACACATCCCCACCCCCCATCCCCCAGTTCCAGCTGTCTGAACAAAGAGAATTACAATTGATATGACATACAGTAATCCCCACATTATTGCCTCTGTATTTTTTTTAGGCTGGTAGCAGGTGAAGAAGTTGTTTTTCTTTCAAATGATGCTATGGCTTTTAAAGTGCTTTTAGCATATTCAAATAGGCATAAAATGTTAAGAAATTGGAGAATTTAGGTCATGTCCCAGAAGAACTGGGCACAAGAAAGCAATTTGAAAACAGCCGAATCTAAAACTGAACCAAATTTTATTCCAACAGGGTCATTTTAAATCAACCTTGCATGCTAAAATCACCCTTTTATCATTGCCTTTTTAAACTTGAAAGTGGTGGCATGAACTTGAAACTAAACAAAAAGACCTACAAAACCAAACCTAAACAAGGCCTCCTGGTTAAAATATAGCAACTTATACTGCAAGATTTACCAAGAGCAGTGAGTTCCATTACCATGGAAAAGGCCCAGCCTTTATTATTAATAATAATGAAATAGAAGAAAGTGCACATATTAGCTTACACATTGTTAAAGTGTCTGTCTAAACCTTCCATTTTGCCAATTTCTTTGCTTGTCTGCAACTAAAGATTAATTACCCACCCTGCCCTGTTCTTGGCTAGGCTGATCCTAGTTGCAAAACAAGCAGAAGACATTTCTGTGGCAATGAAAGCATTATCCTTATTGGCTGTTACATACCTTGCCCAACTGCAGATCAGAGATGGAGCAAGCATCAATGAAAGCCTGAGCTATTACAGACAGACAGGCATCTATATGGTCGGTTTTGTCTATGTCAAAGACAAACTGGGGATTCTTCAGAATATTGACCCAAAACCTCAGAGGTAGGCTGCACAGGTAAACATAATCAATAGATGTGGTTATCATTATCAGACATTTAGCTCTCCATTATCCAGTAATGAAAATAACAGAACTATAGAACTAATAGATATTTTAGGCACTGAATATAGCAGGGTTCTGAATTTATGGGCCCAGTAATGTTTTCTGTGTGTGCTGGTTTGAACTTCTTGCTTTCTTACTGAATTCTAGTTCTTTTTTCTAAAAGCACAGATTTCAATCTGCTAGAAGTTATTTCTGTGTAAGCCAAGGTGCCTGTCTTACTGCTCCAAAAATATATGGCACAAAGAACAGCTGCACAAGTTTCTGCGAACATTTCTCCATTCACCCACATAGCTGCCATGTTCATTAATCTCAGCTTTTCTACCAGTAAAGTTGCCACACTTGCCAAAGATCCTAGATGCACTTGAAGACCCTTACTGTGAGTATCTAACTTGCTAAGGATAGACATAATTGACAAAAACCAATATTGATTACTTCCAAGTGGGGGTTCAGTAGCCTGTGAACTAACAAGCTTGTCTTCATTTGTTCTCAAATACAAGAAATCAGTTGTAATTATGCATTTGCACAGACATTTATGGTAACGTATATTCATATGGATACTTGCTGATACTCAGTTTTGATTTACTTCTGATCTTGGAGCTGGAATGGTTATTTCCCCTGAGACAACTTGAAAGGCATCTTTCTAATATTCTCTGAGGAGTGTCTATGTTCTACAGTTGAGCAGTCCTGAAGCTATTTCTTACTCTCTTGCCATTTTTCTCCCATTTCCTTTCTGTATATTTTTCTTCCTGAAAACTACCATTGAAATCAACAAGACTTGCATATTTAGCATAAGCATATTTAGAACTACAGCAAGATTAGCCTTGTTTCTTTGTTTATCCAAATTTGCTGGTGTTGCACCTGAGACTTCATGCATGAAAAATGATTATGTTGGCTGTTCTTCCCTTTGTCTGATTATTCTTCCTCAGCAGCTTTCTGGGTCTGGACTCTGAAGTATTCCAACTTCCACTGCATACTCCTATTAATCATTGTGGTGATTAATAATATATGCCACAATTATTTTGCACTTCTAGCTTTTATATAGAAACAAGGCAAAACATTTTCTTAACCTGTTGGTTTTCCAAATGTGCATTGTGTCTGGGTCAGAGATCCCTCGTTTCTCTGCTTGCTCTTCCAGGAAATCAAAGAAATACTTGATGGCCACTGGTGGCTTGTCGTCTCGGATACTCAGAATGGCTTTGAATAGGTCATCCAGGAATTTTTGCAGCGTGCCCTGAAGAAGGAGAATATGCAATTTGGCCTAAGCAAGCAGCAACTGTGGTGACTAGGATATTAATACATGACTATTTCTTTTTCAATGACGTGGAAGACTTGCTATACAATGACTGAGGGAAGGAGCAGGCAAAGTAGAGCCTGTAGTGGGAGATGGGTTAATTTTGTGCACAATGATATAATTAGCTTCAGTTTGCATTTAATCTTTTTTGGCACTAGGAATCTCCTCTGTTGCTGGAATCCAAGAGCACATCTGTGACTGTTCTGTGTGGTAAACAGTGGGAAAAGCTACAGACCCCTGGCAACTCCTATGATCTTTTCTCCAAATATGAATCACAAAGAACTGGATCTGAAGGCCAGCTTAAAGCCAAGCACAGTGTCCAAGTCCATCAAGAGCAATACTACTGATGCTCTAAGTGAGTTTTCCCACTGCAGGCTAGAATGTTCAGCACCACCATGGCATCAGACATGGAGACATGGCAGATGCTTAGTAAACAGTCTGGGACCCTGGCAAGACAAGCATTCTTCCCAGCGAGGTGCAGTGCAAGAAGTGAGGAGATTCTGGTTCCATTTAGGTCACAAAACAAGATGCAGAACTTATGACATCAAAGTGCGTGGGCATTCCGCTTGTACAGTCTGTAATAATTTTTTAAAGAGCACTGCCTATTGGGAAATGTAGTCCAGCAGTGAGACACAACACTCTCACCTTTTTTGTCATGTTTTAGTTCCATCTTGAAAAACAGGCCTGCACATTTTTTAAAAATAAGCTTACACATTTAGGTTTGCCCTTTTTAGGCATGCCAAGGACCTGATAACATACTACTTGCCAGCATTTTTAATCTAATCTGCAAATGTACTTTTGGAGGGGGTAATTTGAAATGGAGCGCTGAACCCTGGCCCACCGCCTGCTTCTCACGATAACTTCAACCCAAGTCTTTTTAATGTATTCAAAGCATTTCTAAGCCACTTTCAGCTTGTGAAAATTCTAATTTCACAAACGTGTACCTGGACCATCACAGGGAAAAGTGTTTGGATGAGTGGAAAGCTGAAAGGGAAAGGCAACAGGCATTACATGCCCCATCTCCAATTCTAATAACTTCTTGAAGTGTTTGCCTTTGAAATTTTATTACAAGCATGTTAATAAATATTAACATTAGTGTGATATATATTATATACCTCTTTTTACCAATGCCCTCACAGTAGCAATAAAATATAATAAAGCATAATAGTACATGAATCATATTTCTTAAAATCAATGTACAAAATACAAATACAATCCAACACTTGAGGGATATTGTAGTAAGTAGCTCTATTCTGAGGGCCTGCAATAAAAGAACCAAAACTCTCATTTATTATAGATCATGGATTTATTATGCCTTTTCAAAGGTGTTCTCCCTCCTCTGAGTTCAACCGATAAACTAGCAATGCAGTTTTAAGTAAACACATTGAAACATACTCCTTAGTAAGGGTACTTAGGATTGCAGCCTAAATGCCATTAAGTATAGTGGAACATATTCTCAGAGAAAACATTCATAAGATTGACCTTCAAATAGTCATTCATTTTTTATCATTGAATTCAACTATTTTCTGGGTGTTAAACATAAAACATAGGAATGCTACCTGAAAGACCAGATAGGTGTCATTTTTTCCCATTGATTAGAATGGCAACATATGTGCTAAAGACTGCTGGAATCTGAGTTTTGGCACCAAGAAGATACGAAGCAAGGCTGATTCATGCCAGTACTGGTCACCATTTTCACATTCTGCAAGACTCTAATGTCTCCTACCTTTGTGGACAGCAATCTGGTCAGGTAGATTTCAGGAAGGACTTTTTTCCTGTGACTTTGTCGATGGGATTTTTTATTTTCATTCAGTTCATCTGTGGGAAGGACCTGACAATTGCAAAAAGAGAGGGTTTTCCTTTTTATTGTCAATATTCAAATACCACTTATCATTGATATCCCAAAGTTTTTTCTATAATATCATAATAAATGATTTTACTTTAACTAAAGGTCTACAACAAAGCATGCATATATCACAAAAGAATACTTCTCAGTGCTATACAACAAAGCCTTCAGATTATAATCACTGAAACAATATTAAAAATCAATTGTACTATTTGTTAGTTGTGCTGCTTGGCTCTTTTCTCTCCCTCCTCTCACTGAGTGAAGATATCTGCTACGATTAAATTGCCAATGAATTCAACTGTCTGAAACATCACCAGACACCAAGCTCCTTTCCTTTCTGGTAACTGGCAGTCATCATAAAGGTGAAATATGTTAGAATTCAGTGCAAGATTATGATTAAGCAAAAGCGAGTTCTCCCCTTCTCCCTGCCAAATACAATGTGTGTTCAATTACCATCGCATTACACAAACAATGCTGGAATCAGAGGGGTCTCAATTGCTCCCACCATGGGTCTGATCCTAGGCCAACAAGCTGGCCAACTGACAAATGCATCACTCTGCATGCACTGTACATATGGAAAACATTCCTAGATCTGCCTTTGACAATAAACCATGTGCAGAATTACTGCCCTTTCACTGCATATTGCTAAAGTACTATAAGATGGTGGAGGGTTTGTTTCACGACAAACAAACTTGGCAAATTTCATTGGCTCAGATCTACTTCCCACCCATCAAACAAATCTGGTGAAATAATTACATCCACAGCTTTGCATAAATCTGTTGTAATGTGTGTGCATGTAGATACAGTGATGGAAGTTTTCTTAATTTATCAGTACTGTGTCTCTCATAGGCTTTCTGGGTATGTGGATATAATTCCCAAACAGACATTTCCTTTTTAAGAAATAGGGGAGAGAGGGAATATGTCCCCTTTGCCCACCCACAGTGGGAGAGTCATTATGCTGCATTGCTCTTGGAATACTTACTAAATGAAAGTATTTTTCAGTGTCCAAATCTTTCACTGAAAGAAAAAAAAAATGGAGAAAATGAAGAAAACACCTTCACTTTTTTTTTCTACAGCAAGTATTTTCTAAGAAAGAAAAGCTTTGATATATCTGTTGGTGAGAATATCACATATGATATACACACAGCGCTCAGAACTTACATGAGACATTAACCACCTGAGAACCTTGCTGTTTTCTAATTTGAGACCCTGATGCAGTGACTAAATAGAGAAAGAAATGAAGGTGATGCCTACTCCCAGCCCTACACTCCCATTGGCAGGCTTCCTGTCCAGCAGTGTCTGGATTTTACCACTGAGTATTTGTCAGACCCTTGAAACTTAGTTCAACAGACTTCAAGAGAGAATCATTCATCATTTTTGTGAAAATTTGATCTCTCCTCTCCATACTCTAAATCCTCACTAATTATATACACAGGAGGCTGGAGTTGAGGAAACTAATGTACGTAAGCAGAGGGCTCATCATTGAGGTGATCATGAATATAGAAAATAAATATTAATTGCATTAACCTTCAGGCATAAAGTTATGCCTGATTACTTTAAATAATAAAAGATGAATCTAACTTTATTTCATTTCATTGGTAACAGGACACTTACATCTACTTATTTTTAGATACACACATCTACTTGTTTACAACAAAAGTGTAGGTGAAATATATAAACAACCAGATGCAACACATTCAAATTAAACTGTGTATGACCAAAGGATCATTCAGAAAACCTTCTCCAAGGTCTTATTCAAAGCTCCAACCTCAGAGGGATTTTTCTCACATCAAAGCCTTTATCCTGGCTCTTTCCAGCCCTCTGGAAGTGTCCATGGTTGTTTGTGAGACAAGGTCAGAAGCCAACCTCACACAGCAGGGAAACAGGCACCCTGGACACAAGCAGTTGGTTGGAGAGAAGCTGGCCATAGATCTGAGGGATCCTAAACCCTCCCAGTTTATTTATTCACCTATTTATATGCTGCCTATAATTGCCAGAAAGGTCTCCCTAGGCAGCTCACACAATACAACAGCATAAAACAGTTAAAAGAATAAAATTGTAATACAAAATGGTACAGCATAATAAAACCAATAAAGGTCCGTCAGCACTCACACATGGCTTAGATATTAAAGAATTTCTTTAAAAGGAATGACTTTGCCTGACACAGAAAAGAAAACAAAGATGGTGCCAGTGAATTTCCCTAGGGAGGACTTTCCAGAGATGGGGGGCAGCAGTAGAAAAGGCCCTTCACCTGGTTGCCACCCCTCTCATCTCCCTGAGGGTTGGCTCTTGTAGAAGGGCCTCCTGAGCTGATCTTAAGGGGTAGGTTCCCAACCATACAGCAAAGAATGCCTCTGACAGAACTTCTGTCCAGGACTCCGGACAGACAACATTCCTGAGGCCAGGCTGCATCGTAGTTTGGCCTCCTTGCCCACAGCCCTGAGAACCTGAGACAACTGCAACCCCAGGCACACTAACCTGGGTGTAAATGAACTCAGTGGGGCTTACATCTGTGTAGACAAGTGCAGGGTTACATGGTAAGAAAAACAAACACTACTTCCCCCTCTAGACTGCCCTGTATTACTTTCACAGAGAAAAGCGAAATAGCACAGAATAAGTAGTATTTTCCTCTTTGCTAGTGACCTTTGAGATCTTTTTTTCACTTATCAGTTTGAAACATCTGCCAGTTTTAGTCTCAAAGTGCTGTACTGATCACAGAAAAGTTGGTCTGTTTATTTGCAAACCTCTTACCTAGCTAAAAGCCATTCTGCCTGGTGTCTGAAGTCGGTAGAGATTGGCAGCTGATAGGCCACAATAGAAAAGGCAGCCATTCAAGTACAAAGGTCAGTAAACCAGCCTATTTAGCAGCAGTGAAAAGGATGACCTCATAACACGCAGTCTGATGACCAAAGCTATATTATGTTTATGGATGGCTCCAGGCCTGGGCGCCACTTATAGCTGTGCCAAACTAATGCTTGCTGCTCTTTGGACACCAATTTTGTTCTCTCAGATTGCTGGCTGCCATTCAGAGAATGTCATGCACTACAGGGAACAGGGTGTTAAGTGTCTCTCTCTTTCCTTTCTGTCTCTTTATCAGGCCATCAATCCTACTCAGTTCAGTGGAGGATATTGAAGGCTTTTAGATGAATGGTAGGATTCAACAAACATAAATTACTGTAGCTTAATCACTGTAATTGTCACAAAGATGGAAGTCTTGCTAAGTCCTGGCCACAGCTAAGCAGTTAGGCCATGATGGGCTGATGACACTTCTCATAGCTTCCTACTTTCAACTTCAACAGAAAAATAGACTTAAATAGAGACTTAAATTGCCTTTGAATTCGTCCTGTAGTCTTTGTCTAAATCTTTAATCACTACTATTCCAGAAATGAATGTCGGGGAGACTTATTTGGGATACCAATGAGCCTTCTGGCCAATGTGTAACAATGCCAATTCAAGTAAGAGCCATTGTAAGTCTCGCATGTGAATAAAAGTGCAGCTACTCTCTGGAGGTGGGTGGGTTGATCATGGCATAAGTGCATCTAGAGAGGGTCTTACTTTATATATTTTATTTAAAAATTTTCTATGCTGTCCCATTACTAAAAGTCTCTGGACTGCTTCAAGGACAAAAAAGACAGACAGACAGATAGAAAGAAAGGGAAAGAAAGGGAAAGAAAAAGGAAACCATAACAACAACAACAACATACTCCATCCAATAAATAATGATAAAAACAAGGATAAAACCAATTAATTGTTAAAATTCCGGGAACATAAAATTTTGTGCTGATCATAATCCAAAATGGATTCTGAAAAGGTACAGAAGATTTGTGGCCTTTCAGAAGAAAAATCTGGGCCTGGCAAAACTTGTGCATTATGTGTACATGTATCCACGTGTAGTTATAAAGTTTTAGTTCTGCCTATGTCTAGTCCAGGAAACCCACTGTTCTTCTTCAGATTCAAGCAGAAAATCTCGTCACTTTCTAGAACTTCCATCCCTCCAGAGAAAACACAGCTGGCATTATTAATTTATAGAAACATTTATCTGCCCTAATAAGGGCTTCCAAGGCAGTTTCAAAAGCAAAATACCACAAAAATAAATGAAAAAGTAGCCCATTTAAAGCAGCATTAAAACCAAGAGCAGCAAAGTCAGAAGCTTTGACATATTAAAAAGCCAGCTGGAATAAACATGCTTTTGCTGCCTGCCTAAAAGTTGTCAGGGATGAGGCAAGCTTAAACTCTCTTGGGAGGGAATTATGCAACTTGCCAGAGAAAAGGTCTTGTCCCAGTGGAACCTTTTTGGTGGCCTCAGAAGATGATTGCAATCTTTATGTATAGGTTCGTATGGGTGGGGGAGAGGAAGTCTTGCAGACAGCCATTTATGGGTTTGTAAATGAGTACCAACTCACTGAATTGGGTCCTGGAACAAACTGGAAACCAGTGCAACTGAAGTAATGTAGTCTGAAAAGCATACACCAAAATGTATACCAGGTGACCAAGACATATCTCATTTAGAGCTAGATCTGCCTTCTCCCAGAAAAGTGCACTTGCTCTATCAGTCAGAGTTTGGGCAAGAGCATTCTTGGACATAGCAGCCACACGGGCATCCTGGTGCATTTTGGAACAATCTGGTTGTTCAGAGGGAGTGCAACTCTACCTAGAATTAACTTATCTACATCAATATGTATTGATTCTCAACCTTCCAGCTTATATCCAGTCCATCACTGCATTCAGACAATGGTTCAGAATGTCTACAGCCTATTTGGAATTACTAGAAAAGGACAGTTGAAGCTGGTTATCATCCAACTTCTAAACCCGAGATGATCGCTTCCAAAGGCTTCATACAGATGGTAAAAATTTGGGCATAAAAGAGAGCCCTGACTCTCAGGAGCTAGGTTACCCTTTGCACATTCAAAGCATCAGATTGTTTTGTTGCAAAAGCTCTAGAGTATATGCAGTAAGCACATTCACCACAGAATGAATCTCTGAGCATGCATAGAGCAGTTCACTGAACCCAGTCTAGCAACTACTTCCGATAACCTTCCTTTTGAATACCCCCAAGACCTTTTCCTCTGGAAGGGCCCTTTTGGAGGTGGGCAGGTGTCTCCTTTGTACACCGCCCCTCTAGTTGGCTAGGTCTTCTCTCCTGATGCTGTGTTGTGGGATCAAGAATTGTACCAGGTTCTGTCTCATGTCCCCCCCCCCCATCTGTTGTGGATGCTGGCTAGTCTCAAGAGTCCATCTGAACACCTGGAGAGGGCAGCCTTGAGATAAGGACTTCTTCTACCCTCTTTACAATGCCTAGGGCTGCCTCTTCTCAGAGCTTTTCCTGCTCCTTATTTGATGAATCTGAATCTGCCTGACCTTGGAATGTATAGAACCAAGAACAACCATCCTTTTCATTCCCAAGAAACCTCATAGGCCAAAGGTTTGAGCAATAGTTTCCCAGCACCACCTTCTCAGAATATTGAGTCAAATAAGACTGGAAACATCTTAGAACAATAGCTCTGAGTCCCATATCAAGCAAATATCCCATAAAGAGACTATGCCTGATGGTAGTGAATGCCCCTAAGAGATCAAGCGGAATCACTAGGGATGTGTTCTCCTTGCCTAGCTCACAACACTGATCTCCACCAAGCCTGTTTTAGTGTGCAAACTGGCCCTGCACCCAGATCAGGGAGATTCCAAACGTTGAGCTTCATCCTAGAAAAGCTAGAGTTCAGTTGCTAACATGTACTCTAGAACCTTGCTCAAAAAAGAAATAACACTGATAATGTTCTAGGATGGTAGGGCACAATCTGTTTCCTTTAATGATACAAGGACACAACCTACTTGCAAGGAAGTACTTGTGATCACCCTCACTGGCAATCTGCCCTGTCTTCTCTGGAAGCATTTAAAAATGTTGCCAGGATGGACACATATCCAATAGGCAAGTGGCTGCTCTTACCTCTATAAACAACTTGTCCACACTGTTAGGTTGAAGATAAAATATTCATCCAAATTAGACAAACGGATACTCTGCTTTTTATATGGAGTCCAAGTCAAGAGTAAATGTGAGCCATTTTTATCAGAAATCTGTTTTGTAAAATTGTCATTGTGGGTCATTAAAGATTGAACTTCATCATTCTGGGGTTTAGAATATATCAGCCCCTGCAATGCCCTAAACAACTCAGCAGGGCTACACTGAAAAGTTCAGCTGTGGCATCTTAGTGGAGGGATTTCCCCCTAGGGCTTAGCACAGGATGTGCACTTGTGAATTTCACTGAATTCATAGTTGGAGAAGCAATAGTTAAATCTCCTCTTCCATGTGCTGCATGACAGTTGGGGGAGGGGGTGATACCCCCCCCCCAACCCTACACTCTGATGTAGTTTCTAATAACACATTTAGTGTCGCATCTCATTGATCCTCTGAATGTTTTGCTTGGCAAACCTCACAGCAAAAGCTTTAATATGTTTTTGAAAGAAAGCAGGCACAGTTTGATAATAAATATAATGTTATACTTACGGGACAAATTACATGTGGTACTATGTGGTTGTATTCTATGTACATACAGTTCCATGTAGTTTGCCACAGATACTTTTGCTTTCCAAAATGCAGCCCAAAAAGTTGCAAACCAAAGCAGAAAGCTTGCACCAGGTTAAGAAATCCTGTTCTTAACCTTTCTCCTTCGTGCCAAAAAGGACTCTGCCAACTCCTTTTTGCCTTGGAGCAAAGCAACCACTATGTCTAAAGTTTGTGCAGCAAAATAAAATAATGAACCAAAAAGCCATTTGGAATAAACTACATATCACTGAATGTCACACATGTAGCTCATTCTTCAAGCTCTGATCTGCAAGATTGCACTTTGCTGCCACTGGGCCATTCCCTTTCCTTCCATAAAAATATAATCTAAAAGTGTTGATGAAAGAGTAACAACTTACCTCTGCTTAAAGTGGTATCTTTCTTATCAGTTAAACTCATAGCTAGGGAGGCACCTTCAGGGATCTGTGTGTGAGGGGATACAAAATAAATAAATAAGGAATCCATTTGGAGCAAGCAGCTTATGGCATTATATCACACTGCATGTTGTGCAAATATTATTGATAAAAGCTGCATGGAATTTGCATGAAAGATTCATGCAGAAGAGATGGCAGGCACGTAATATTCTGTTTGCAGATCTTTCCTGCAAAATGCACATGATTGTTTTCATTATGACATATGCCATACATGGCCCTTGATGGAAATTATTCCAGAATACCTTTGTGGAGCAACCACAGACCCACATAATATTGGCTGCTCATAATGCAAGTAAGGTTGTTTCCTCAAGATCCAGCACCGAATCCTGCAGAAGTAGTCCTGAGCTCAGTCACACCACTATTCGCATGGCATTACTTTCTATGTGTGAAATGACTTTGAATGCAGGCTTAAATTATCTGAATGTCACTTCAAATGAAATTATTTCCTCAAAGAAAGTGAAAAAGGACCAAACCACGCTCCCATAAGAGACCAATGGGAACTCTGACACCACTGCGAACAAGAAAGAGGAATGGCATAATTTTAATTAGGATGGATGGCAGCCACTGGGAAAAAGAAGCTTTTTTTCTCCAGCAATAACTTGTTTTGCATGAAGAGCATTTAATTAGTCTCGATGTGTTGCAATATTAACGAGTTTCTCGCCAGGGCAGATGTCTGTTCCCCAGAAGGTCTCATGGAGTTATGGCAACCTTCCTGCTTGCTTCTGTTAATTCTGCTCAGAAAGCAAATTGTGGTACGTCCCTGAGGAAAGGGAGGCCCAAAGGAAGGGAAGTTCTTGGAGCAGTCACACTTTTTACCTTATAATGTGCTAACGTGTTCAGTTTCTTCCTGCCATCTTCCATCACTGAAGTGTCATCAAGGTCCCGAAGGATGTAGCTGTCAGTGCTTGTGGCAAACCATTCTAAATAAAGAAAATGGAGCAAATGGAAACCCTGCCTGAGCACAGCACGTGCTACAGAGAACACAAATGGGTTCTCTTATTTTGATGCCACGTTTGACAAAGGGACACAGGTGTTGCAGCGTTAAGCTCCACAGCTCGTAGAGCTCAAGAGCTCGTAGAGCTCAACTCTTGTGCCAGGAAACTCAAATGCAAAGACCTCCCGGCACCCACTGTGGGAATTCTTTTAAGGTAATGGTAAGTAGATGGATAAAAATGTGATCATTGCATGGTCTGATATTTTGCCTTTCCCGTGCTGTGCTTCCTGCAAGTACTGCACACATGTCTGCAATGTGTATAGAAAAGAGAGATCTGAGCACACACTAATATTAATCTAATTTCCAATTACCTGGAATTTTTTTTGAAGCAGATTGCATCTACTTAACTATTATCCCATCCTGAACACATGTATCTGGAAGTAAATGCACTTTATTTCAAATGTGTATTTTGGATCACATCTTGAGAAAGAGACTGTAAACAAAACTATTTTCTTTCAAGTGCATCTCGCCTTCAGCTTATGTGCATCACTCTCTGTTTTCAAATAAGGCATTTTCTGCCCAGTGAGCAATTCTAATTTCATCATAAATGTATTTCATTTTTTGTGGCTCTCAGGAGGGAATGCTGCGAGGTTCCTGCATCATCGCTACCATATTCTCCTCCCCTCTTCTAACATTTATATTTGGAAAGGATGCTTCTCACCTTTCTCAAAGCCTTCTTTTTGTTCTGGGTCAGTGATTAGCAACTGCCACTTTTCTTCCTGGTTGCTTTTCCAAAGAATATACATCAGGCCAGGCAAAAGCTTTTAGCTGCAGGTCATTGTAAGGTAAGCACGGTGGGAGAGGGTGGTGCAAAATGCTGAGGGCCTGGCCTGATACCTGATCTCAAAATACCTGAGAGTCCACCTTGAGCGCCTCCTGGTGAAGAAGTTGTGGTGCCGTATCTAATAATTAAAGTATTATTCTCTGTGCACCTCACCTACCCACATGTAATTTCATTTCTGAGGAATGTGGTGAAATCCCTTTGGAACCTCCCCTTGTACTAGGCAGGTACTGGATACGGGAGTTTGATCTTAGTGGCAGGTTATACTCTGAACTAATCAATATATAATGTTTTTAAAATATTGCTTAATTCAAAGGGGATCAAGAAGTGCAAAATACTGAGTGCAAATATTCCATGACTGAACATTATCCTTGTGAGCGATGAGCATTCATATGCAAAAATAAGGAGTGGTGTTCCTATATAGAGAACATTTATTTTACCTAGATCAACATCTTCTACTCTTGGCCACTGGGAATATGGAATATTCTTGCAGAAGGCTTCAAGTATCTTCTCTTTAACTTGGCTAAGAGTGTCTGTATCCATGACTCGAACACTCAAGGAGTCCATTCCACAGCCTTGAAATGACACATTAAGATTCTGTGGAGAAAGATGGTTGCTTAGGGTGTAGGTAAAATGCATGAATCACACGACATTAAAAGCCTGTGAGCGATGAGCTTTAAAAAATTTCTTGGCAGACTACATATATTGTTTTAAAAAAGATGAATTCTAAACTTAGTGGAAAGTGCTGATTTACAGCTCCGTACACTGAAATCAACTATTTTATCTGAAGAACTAGGAGAACATGAGGCATAGAAGTGTGAACTCCCCCTGAATTGTCCCGTCTATGAACCTAAACACAGGAATCATTTCAAGCAGGGAGTAGGAAAAATAACTCCAGTTGACTCCTTTTACAAATTCACTTTGTTTCAGAAACAAAAACTGAGTTTTAGCACCAATCACACACACACATGGCATATACATATGCATATGGCATTATGCAATGGCACCTGAAGCACTTAGAGTGACCGTGAAAAATCCAGTCATCTTAAAAACATCAGTCAGATGTTATTTGACCTTGCTGGTTCTTAGAACTAGGAAGTGCAATGTGAATAAGAATGTTAAAGTTGCCCAAGCTCTGAGTGATGGCGGGGCTATGCACGGTATTTCTGCAGGGAACTGATTTACCATCACCTGGGAAGTGTACATGTATTTGTAGACCAATTACTTGTTAACCAAATCAGCAGAACTTTCTCAGTTTGTTCTTACAGAGTTATCTCTGCAAATAAAAAGTTAATAAGGCTGTTCCCTCGCACCCGTTACCTTCCTTAGCTCTGCAGCATAAAGTATAGATCACTCAGTCATGCCAAACTGCAGCAAGGCAGCAGATGATACAGTGCCAAAAACCTGTTCTCATTTACACTACCATGGCTCCTGAGTGTCCCCACCGATTTTGTAAGAGCTCCTCCAGATTTACACGATTGTAATCAAAAGCAGAGTTTGGTTTTAACTTCGCAAAGGTCTGTCGACTGCACTTACTGTCACACTGAAGTTAACATATTCTTCTAACCTCTAAAATCTTAGTATGAGCTAGTCCCACAAGAGGTGTTTTACAGCATCACTTTTCAGCACAATTCCTGGAACACTCTTTATAAAAACCTTCACTCTGTGGACTCACCTTTACAACCAGCAGTCCTTTTTCCTAGCAATAAAGATGGTATTTTGCCAGAAGCTGTAAAGATGAGACACTCCCTTTTTTAAAAAAAAATCCACCATTGTTACACGTGATACTGTATCTATGTTTTCAGCATATCTTGGATCTCAACCAATAGGACAGAATTTCCAATAGACATGATACATGTTTTCATTGAAGAATTTAGTTCCCAGCTGTTCAGATGCATATCCATATGCATTTTTGTTGCAAGTTAGATACATGCTACCACATGCACTGTAGTTTAACTAGCTGGAAGGAGCTTCCTCTACTGTTAAACCTACATTCAACACTCTTGCCAATACTAATGGCAGAATAGAGACAAGGGGGTTTCAATTATTAAGAAACAAATGGCTTACCCTCTTAAAAACATATTCAACAGCTTTAAAAATGGAAAACAATTACCTTTAAAAGCAAGCCTACTGATGACAATACACCTAATTGGCTAGAGGGACAGATGGGTTCATCTGTGCTTCCACCCTTGCAGTTCTCCTTGCCTCTGAGTCATTGTTTCAGTCATCCTATCAGACGAATCATACATCACCTCGAATATGGCCACTTACAAACCAGGCACATTCCCTGATCATCTCAAGAAGTGAGGGTTCCTGATTCTGACCCAGAAAGAGGTGTGTCCATTCCTAAAGCAGATACTACTTGCTCAAGCCTCAAATGCAGCCATGATATTAACAATTCATTTTCACCGAAGAACAGGAATGCCTCACCCGTGGCTTTGCTTCAATGTTCTCTCGCAACAGCCATTCCTCATTGAGAGTATATCTGGCTTTCCCAGTGATGGCATCTATAGATCCTTTATTGATTTGTTGCTTGATGGCGCACAGCAACAAGAAGAAGGGTTCCCCAACGGTTTCCTAGTAGGTGAAAAAACAGGGCATGATTTTCTGATTAGAAATGAATGAGGACCATTTCTTACACCAGCGCCAAAGCATTTAAAGTAGTGATGGGGAACCTGTTTCGGCCTGAGCGCTGCGTTGGCTCCAGGAAGGGCATTGGGTGCTGTAATTTGCATTGGGTTGAGGGGGAGGTAGCTGTGCCATTGCGGGCATGTGGCCTTGATACGCCAACACGTTTACTAGCAAATGGGCTTGCACAAGATCAACTGCCTTCTACGGCAAAGTTCAAGTTGCACTTACCTTTTAAGATTCTTTCTCAGTTAGTCATGTGCTAGATATAGTGTCCTTTTCTAGGTTAACAGGTGCGTGTGTGATTATGTGTGAAACACCAAAATCCCCTACCTAAGCTTAGGGAATCTCCAGAGGAGCAGAACCTTGATACAGCTCTAGCTGTAGAGGGTGCTGTGGAGTGGCCAGGGTCTGTCCACTGTCATCACTGAGGGCTGCCCAATCGCAGAAGGGGTGTACGTTTTGTACCAACCTTGCCCTTATAATCTCTTTTCTATAGCTTGCTAATGAAGCTCTTTCATCTTTACCCACAAGTGTGCTTATTTTCCTTGGATGTGAAAGAGAACCGCAGCCAATGGCAGAGCAGGAAGCAGTAATACAAGGAAAGGAATGTAGAATGTTTAAGAGCCACAGTGAAACTCTCCAGGCCACAGACTGGGGCACAATGGAAGCAGAGGCTCTTTTCTACAAATAGCTGTTATCCTTGCTCCCTGTCATGGAACACCATCACTCATATATGTTTCTAAGCTGGGAAGACTTTTATGTTATAAATATTGTCTATATTATAACATAAAAACTGCACAGGGTTTAATTCCATTCTTCTTTTATGTCAGTACTTCAGTGCTGATGCCACTCAGTAACTTTCTTCACATTCTAACTATATTTTTTTCAAAGATTCCAAAGGCCATTTCCAGATTAAAATTCACTAAGTTTCACTTTCAGTTATCTGTAGTCCAATCTCAATACATTTTATTAATTTAAATGGTTCAGAAAACCTTTATAAACCAGTCTCCTTAATTTTCATTAATATTTTTTCGACAATATTCTTCTACAAAAACATGTTTATATTAATTTACTATTTTAAAATCTGTTTTCCCCTTCATGCATGCACAAGCATGCACGTGCGTTCGCATACACACACACACACACACACACACACACACACACACACACACACATCTTCTGAATCTCTAATCGCTCAGGGCAAGATAAGTGCAATTGATGTAAAAATATTTTTGAACTTCAAGTGGCCAGCATCCCTTCAGATTTCTTCACTTGATTAATGCTAACCTTATTAATGTTTTCTCATCACTACAGCAGCTAGTTTAATGGCATACTTGGGATGATACTATATGGAGATAAAGGGGTAAATTGTATATGTTTTTTAAGGACAAAAATTAATTTGCCATAAGCAGCATTTTCATGATAAAAACAGTAATCCTAGCTCTTTCTTCTTGGATGGTTTTGTCAACACCTTTAGCTGTAGTAACTAGTTTAAAGTATTTGAATTTTATTTCTGCATGAGTCACATAATTGCATGAATAGCAAAACTGCCACGAAAACAGGGATAATTACTTAAAAGGAGCAGAAAAATATCAGTGATCTTGAACTCTAGGAGTGATGAAGACTGCTGTACATCAGATTATAGTATTACATCAGGATACATTAGTCTTGCTATTCAAATGTAAATGGAAAAAGAGATATAACAAGAGTTTTATTGCGAGTAAACTTTAATGGAAGAAAAAACAAAACTGAAAGGTGGCATGGACTAGTTTTGATTCTTCTAGTGCAATCCTATGCATGTTTAATAGAAATTAAGTCCCTCTGAGTTCAGTGAAGCTTACTCCTCAGTAAATGTATTTAAAAAGCACTCATTTCAGAATGTCCCTGTGAAAACATTTGCTAAGAAGGCTGACCTTACTATGAAATACTAGTGGCACAAATGTGCTCCTTGTTTATGTATGGTTTACTAACAATTAGCCAGCAGTGCATCACAATTTAAATGACAAACTTCTCCTCAAGAAGATTAAATACAGTAAAACAGTAAAGTGTTAAAACAAATGAATAATGTTAAAGGCTAAATAAAAAACATTATTTAGCCTTCATCCTCTCACTTTCTAAAAATCAAGGGAGTGGGAGCCATGCAGTGTTCTTGAAGGATCACACCCCACAATTTGGGAGTGGCATAGGAAAAAGCTCTTTCAGACATGCTCAACAAATGGACCTCTGTGAGTAATGGTGTTCTCAAGATGGCCTCTTCTGCACATCCAGTATGCTATTCAATTTAGACTGTGACCTTTGCAAAACTCAAGGTCATGGCAGTGCGCCTGGATCTAGATTCAAATGTTGATCCATTTTCCAGCATATCAAACTCCTATCCCTGTGGCAGAATCTCAATCACAAAATGTGTCAAAGTCTCAGCCAGAGACAAATTACACCTGAATCATAAAACTGCTTCCAAAGCCAGTAAAAAGAAAGCTACACTGACAGAGCTGGTATTTATTGTCTTGGCATAACATGTATTGCATCTGATTAAGCAGAGCATGTGACCAATTTTCTTTCTGTCCAAATGTACCACAGCAAGTGGCAGTTAAGCAGTCATTGCAGCTACTGCTGTAGTGGTAACGCTACTGACTTTATGGCATAAAGCTCAGCCTCTGATGTTACATTTCAGTGCATATTTGCTCTGAGTTGTTGTGAAAATCTGTAGCAACATAAAGACAATCTATTTAAAAGATAGGAAAAGAAGCAGACAGCCAAAGACTACAGATGAAATGGCTAACTTGGAATTTATTTCAAAATTATTGTGGGGAAATTGGTCTGGAATTTAGTAAAAACCATCATTGGACCAGGCTTTTTTGTGGGGGAGGGAGGCTAAAGTGCTTATTCAAGGGAAAATATTCTTTGAATGCATTAGCAGAGCACATTTTCTTCTCTGTTGTATTTTTTTTAATGAGATGCTTTGTGAGTTATAACTATGGTGTTATAGGTTCATAAAAGTAACCATGGGCACCAAAATAACTTTGTATTAATGAAAACCAAAGTTAAGGTTGGCACACTTTGAAATGTTCCATGTATAATATCTGAAGCTATATTTCTATATGCCTGGATTTAAAAAACTTGGAAGAAAGAATGAACGCTCAGGGCAAATTTACATGCCACGCTTGTAATAAGACAGATATGTTAGAGAGATCCTCGTGGGAATATCATATAGTTGGTTTCAGAATGTCTGAGGGAACACATGAAACTATTCCAAATGCCCTCATTCAAGGTCATTTCCTACAAAATAGCAAATGTTTTGCTGCATTGAGGCTAGCCAAAATCTAATATCTCAACTCCCCTAGCCTGGGTTCGTATGGTTGCTCTTTGACTAGCTATCCAGATCTGTTAAAAGCAGAATTGCATCTGAATTCCTGCCCTTTACCCTTCTTTGTAGAAATCATACAAGCGACTCTAGTCTAATATAGTATTTAAGGTTTGATGCCACATTTGTAAGTTCTTAACTTTCTGGTATGTGCTAATTTATTCAGAAGAGCTCTTGTTAAAAGTCCCAGGTTCCACCTTTAAGGATCCTTAGGTTAGAGCAGAATGCCCACTTCACGTCTCTGGATACAATAAAGAAATGGAAAGCCTGAGATGAACCTGTGCTGACTGCATGAAGCCTCCTTACCATCTGACTAAACAACCACTGTATCACTTGGTTTGGTCCAGGATGGGTAAAGAAATGCTAAAATTTAAGGAAGACTCATATGTTAATATAAAGGCACACTCGGTTGATCCTTCTGCTTCTGCTTCCAGTAGCCAACTCAGAGAAATCTAAAGTGTGTTTCTTAAGGCCAGACTAGATGTGGCCTTAATTCCATGATTACAGTTAACATGCCCTGTTTCAATTCTTTCTTCAGTGCTGTGGCACTACTGTAAATTGCCCCCACCCAACCCTGTGACTGATACTTACTTTTTGGGGGAGCAGGTTACTGAGACTGTGGCATGGGGGAACTTTATTTTCCCCTCCTCACATTCCCCATGCTATCTCCAAATCTATTTAAAATTAGAAAAGTTACCTGCAATCATGCAGTTAATATTTCAGTGACCCAGTTCTACAGATATAACAACCCACCATGGATAATCACCCATGCTCAGTTGTCATGACATTTGAACTGGTGCAGTTTCTACTGGGGGGCTTATTTTTCATGAACAAGTCACGCTGAGCATCTATGGCTTGTTCTTGGATTATTTGGAATATTTCAAGTCTTGTTTTCAGGGTGGTTTGCCATGAAATTCAAATCTGGAACTGTGGCATTGGTGCCACTTGTTGCTACTGAAGCAATTGGCAAGAGAAAGAAAAACCCTGCAGTTCCTCACAGTTCCACAAGTGCTGCTACCACCTCCCACATTCCTTGTCAGAGCTGTCCACCACAAGCTCTTATACATCAAGAAGAAATCACACCAGAGCGTATTCCAACCTTCCCCATCCTCCAGTTTTGCACTAGGGCTGATATGCAAGTTTGCAGTGGCAAAAATTGTATAAACGAGTCCTCGGTTCTATTGCTCTACCATGAAATTTGCATATTTTTATCAGTCTACTCATTGCTCTGTAACCCGCATATTTATCTGACAGCTAACAACGGTGAGCAGTTAAGGGAAGTGACAAGCATGAAGTGTGGAGGAGCTGAAAGTGGCTGGTGGCTGCATCAAAAGAAACTTTTGGGGTGGAAGAAAGTATTGTGGGAATATGTAAAGCAGCCTTTACTAATGGTGTGTACCAACAAAGGAGGCACCAAAGTGGAGTGTGAAAATGACAAGGATATTGGTGTCCTGATCAACTAAACATGAAAACATCTTTGTGCACTTGTGCAAGGATGTGGAAAAAAGTTTGTGGACAGGTTACTCCATGTATACAAGTAGATGCTCAGAAAATTAATTTGAATTGATGATCCGATGGGGGGGTA